TCATGGATTGTTGACATTGCAGACCTGTTGACACAGGCACCATGGCCAAGATTTCTGAGTCACACTTGATGAAAGTTCCTGTTCCCCACATGTTTTCTGTGTAAGGCACATTCCAGTGTTCTTTCTCATCTGAAGCCCAGGATTCCAGAGCAGAGTTCTTGGGACCATTGGAAACAAAAAAAATCACAATGCACCGACATTACAGGGACCATGGTCCTCTATTGTTGGTCAGAAGAACATTTGTTCACAGCATGAGACAGAAACAAGAGGACTGGTCAAAGGGAACCGCCTGGGAATGAGTCCCTGGGTGGGAATTGCCTTCCCAGGAAGCTTGTGTCCATAGTCAACTGCAAAAATACAACAGCTTTGAACTGGAGTTTGATCTGGCTTCCAGGACTGAGGGGATTTGATGTGGCCTCCAGAGCTGGGGCACTCTTGCTGTACAAATCTGCAGCAGGACAAGCTTCAGGTTCTGTCCCATGTTTCTGTGATGCTGCTTCAAACACAGATATGTGGCTCCTCCTCTGTGTACCCAGCAAATAAGGAGAAGGAGTCATACAGAATTTAAATTCCTCAGGCTTATTGGGATAGTCATCAAGGCTCAGGACTTAAGGTCAATATTCAGGAATATCTTAAGAATCTCAAGAATTTGAATCTAGAGTAGAGAAACAGAATATTATTTACTGAAAATATAATTGAAATAAATATTAAGAATTGGAATTAGACAGAATGCTGGAAGAATTGCTGAGTTTTATCAGGAAACTACAATACATATAACAATCCCACCCAGGACATTTCTCTATCTTCTCCTGGGGCTGAGATGTGAAGCTGTTGGTCCTGAGCTTCCCCTGCTGATCCTAAATGCCTCTGCTGGTCCTCACTCTATGTGCTGAGCCTGAGCTACCTCCTGACCCTAAGGGGCACTGGTGGTCCTGATCCCTCTGCTGGTCTTGAGCTCTCCCTGCTGGTCCTCAGCTCCCTGCTGGTCCTCAGCTCCCCCTGCTGGTCCTCACCTCCCCCTGCTGGACCTCAGGTCCCTGCTGGTCCTCAGCGCCCCCTGCAGGCAGGTGAGTGACTGGGCTCACACTGAGTTCCCTCACTGGGTGTATCCCACTGGAATACACAGCCATATCCTCAGGTTTCACTCTGTTGAGTTCTAATGAAACCTGGCTCTTGGAAGTGTCCCTGGTGAATCTGACTATCTACCAGGCTGGTCTCAACCCTGCAGCTGCAGTAGGCCAAGGACACCTGGGGGAAGGGACCAGCATGTGCTCAACTCCATCAAGGAGCACTGAGGCCCAGCAGGGACTAAGGACCACGTGTGGAATGGGATCTGCTTCCACCACCATCCATCCTTCTAACCCAATCCAGGCCCCTCCCTGAAGCCTGGTGGATCAGCTCATGCCATGGCCTGGTAGAGAGAATCAGAGTCAGCACAGGTGAGGGACAGGGTGGGCAGGGGCTTCACCAGGCCTGGCCCCACCTTCTGGACCTAAACCTGTGTGGGGACATGAAGGGAAGAGCAGCGTAACTTTCAATCACACCAGAATTGCATGCCTTCACCCTGCTCCTGAAATCCCTGGACATTCACACAGGGTGCTGTCCCCAGGCTGAGGAGCAGTGTCAGGACCTCAGTGCTACAATGAAGGCCCCATGAGGAGGAGACAGGGCTGCTCAGTCAGGGCTGGGCTTTCAGCCTGAGACTGAAGACGAGGATAAAGTGGGGAGCACAGGGCAGGACTCCACCCTTCCTAGATAGGTGTTTGTCTCCTGCTGCTCAGAGGCACTGGGGCTGGGGTGGGGGGAACTGGGGGCTCCTTCCTGCTTCCTGCTGGTCCTCCTCCTGCCAGCCATCCAGGAATGGGGAGGCCCAGTGGTAAGGGGTGGCAGCACCACACAGAGGGCGTGTTCCCTGCAGGAGTGCAAGGTCATGCAGAGGGAGGATACATGGGGTGGCCTCCTGAGGGCCTTTGCTCTGCTCTGTCAGCCACACAGGAATGTTCAGGATGGGTGGTGTGGTGTGCTTGTGGGGCTGCTTCAGGTGCTGGGGACAGCATGGTCAAGGGACAGCTCCCATCCTTGTTCCCCAGGGTCAATGGGATCACTGTATTCTGCAGCACTCCTGCTTAAACCCCCTCATGATAGGATGTGGGGAAAAGGCACACTCATACATTGCTGGTGGGGCTGTAAATTTTTGTAGCCAATATGGAAAGCAGTATGGAGATTCCTTGGAAATCTTGGAATGGAACCACCATTTGACCCAGCTATCCCTCTCCTTGGTATATGCCCAAAGGACCTAAAAACAGCACACTACAGGGATGCAGCCACATCAATGTTTATAGCAGCACAATTCACAATATCTAAACTGTGGAGCCAACATAAATGCCCTTCAGTTGATGAATGGATTAAAAATGTGGCATATATACACAATGGAATATTACTCAGCAATAAGAGAAGAAAATCATGGCATTTGCATGAAAATGGATGTGTTTGAAGAAGATTATGCTAAGTGAAGTTAGCCAATCCCCCTGAAAAAAAATGGTGAAGCTTTTCTCTGATATAAGGTGACTGACTCATAGTGGAGTAGGGAGAGGGAGTATGGGAGGAACAGATGAACTCTAGATATGACAAAGGGGTGGGAGGGCAAGGGAGGGGGAAGGAGGTTAGAAATAATGGTGGAATGTGATGGACATCATTATCCAAAGTACATGTATGAAGACATGAATTGGTGTGAGAATATATTACACACAACCAGAGATAGGAAAAATTGTGTTCTATGTGTGTAATAATAATTGTGATGCATTCTGCTGTCATGTATTTAAAAATAAAAGCAAATTTAAAAAATTAACCCCTCGTGATGAAGCTGCTCACACCCCTGGGATGCCTGAGGTTCTCAAGTTCTCAGAAGACATCAGAGGCCTGCCTGTGTCTGTGCCTGCACAGCTGCACCATGGGGACTCTGGGCCTAGGGTCACCTCCTACTTTCTTTCCGCCAGTCTCTCTCCCTCTATCCCCCAGAGCACATAATACAACAGGAGTTACTTAATGTCCTTATCTGGTCAGTCAGGGTAAGGTGGAAATCAGGAATTTTAGAGTCTTCTAAGAGTCACCAGGGTAGAGCTGGCTCTGCTGAGGTGCCCAGGACAGGAGGGCAGCACTGAGCAGGACTTTGTGCCCACACAGAGACCAGATGCCTATGGTGGCTGCCGTGACAGCACCACAGGGAGAGAGTCTGAGGTCCTCAGCTGTGGGGCAGTGCCACAGTCTGGCTGGGCACAAATGCCGCAGTCTGGCTGGGCACACAATCACGAGCCACCACACAGCTTGTAGATTCAAACAGCAACTCTTTATTCCCGAACTCACACCAGCCGTCTACAATCACGTTCTGGGGAAATCCACGTTCTCTGCCCAAATCCACCTCCACTGGGCTTCTATCTCCAAAATATACTGTCTGAATCCCGTGAGAACTCAAGGGGAACTCAGGCAGCAGGATACGCCCTATTGCCAGCAGGAATAATCTTAAACCTTAAACCTGGAACCTAAACTGGGAACGCCCTAAACACAATTATCTTAAAACCGGGAACACCCTAATCTGCCTTGGTCCTTGAGCAAGGTCACCTACATTCAATGTCACTGCAACATGTCAGCAACATGGGGTAGGCTGGCAAGGAAATTGTCATACCTACTTGGCTAATGGCTCCCAGCAGGGCAGGACCTGGCCTGGGCTCCTAAGGCTGCAGAACCCCCTGTGGATGGTGAAGGGCTGTTGGCACAGAGCAGAGGCTATGGAGGCTCCATCTGGGCAGAGGGCACCACAGGAGGAGAGCTAAGTGGGAACCCTCAGCACCCCATGCTGTGCCCTGGGGAGCAACACTTAAAAGAGGACGACGGGGTCCCAGCCTTGAGCAGCTGCAGAACCACCTGTGGGAGAGGCCTGGAGAGCAGGGAGGTGGGAAGGACGTTCAGCCAGCTCAAGTGTGTTCAGGGACCAGGGGACTCACCAGAGGGCAGCCTCCAGGGAGCACTGAGAGTGCAGGGGCCTCTCACAAGGAAAAGGCCCCAGGAATGGAGAGCATGTGGTCAGCTGCTCACCATCAGTCCAGCCTTTCACACTCCAGATAGATCCCACTGGACAGGACACCCAGGTGTAGTGAATGTGGAAAGTCTTCAGCAGAAATGCCAATCACATTGCACACCTAAGAGTTCACACTGGAGACCAGCCATTCCCATGCAGTGAATGTGGGGAGGGTTTCAGGCAAATCCCACACCTTCTCAGCACCACAGGCTCCATGGTGGAGAGAGGCCTGTGAGTGCAGTGATGTGGGAAACCCCTCAGCCAGCACTGACCTTCATCCAGCAGCAGAGTCCACATGAGAGAAACGTCCAGATGTTTCATATCTGGGAAGTCATTCACCACACCCACCACCTTTTCACAACCCTGGAGAGGACAGGAGCTCACAGGCATTGAGAGAGCAGTGAGTGTGGAGAAGACTCTAACCACTGCTCTGCTCTGACTCAGCTGCACAAACATCACAGCCTGAACACGCCCTGGGAGGGCAGTGAGTGGACATAGGCCTCAGCCAGTGGGGCCACCTGTTCCACACCAGGACGTCCATGCTGCAGAGAGTCCTGAGGTGGGACCTGACTCAACTGTCAAGTTCTGAGAGTCACCTTCATGGTGGAGCCAGGACTGAACCTCAGTCCTGCACACAGCACAATGACCACAGGGAGGAACTGCTTTGATACTCAATGGATGTCTATCACTGGGTTAATGAAAAAGCAATAATAATGATACCTATGATGCCCTAATATTAACAAGGAAAAATACATCTCAAAAATCAGGATTCATATTTCCAGAGAAGCCAAAGTTTAATTCAGACAACAAGTCCAGGTGGCTCCCTGGGAAGCTGGTTCATGGAGAGGAACTCAGATGCAGGAAATCAGCTCTCAACCTCCCTCTGCACCTGCACTTGAGCTGACCCTGAGCTCCCTGTGTGCTGTGCGCCCCCTGCTGGACCTGGGCACCCAGCAGGAGGTTTGTGTCTGGGATCATACTGAGGTCCCCTCACTGTGTCTCTGGTACAGTAATATGCTGAGGGCCATTGCTAAGTAAGAATGACACATGGCATGACCCAGTTCATTTGCAGTGATATTGCATGTAAGGTGACCTTGCTCAAGGACCAGGGCGGATCCGGGTTTAGGGCCGATTGGGGTTTAGGACAATCCGGGTTTAGGGTGGTTCCAGGTTTAAGATGTACCCTGCTGGGAATAGGGCGTATCCTGCTGCCTCAAGTGCGCCTGCTCCTTGAGTTACCATTGAGTTCTCACAGGATTGAGAGAGTATTTGGGATTTTGCCCAGAATGTGAATTTTGCCGAGAACGTGTGTGTAAAGTGCCAGTGACAGTTCGAGAATAAAGAATTGCTGTTTGAATCTACAAGGCTGTGAGTGGCTCGTGATTTTGTGCCCAACCAGTCTGCGGCATTTGGCGGGCCATACGGGGAACATCTGAAGAGAAGGTAAGTGAAATTGCTCGCCCCTGAGGAAGAGCGAAAAAATGGGTGACCATTTCAAACAACAATATGTTCTTGTTTTGATTTATTTTGTTTTTATTTCAAGTTGCCTGTCCCTAGAACATTCTCAGGCAAACAGGGGAAAATTGTTGACTCAAGGTTTGAAGTTGTTCACCCCTGAGGAAGAGAAATTGTTAGAAGAAGGAGGCACACCAGTAAGACCAAAAACAGTTAGGACATATGTTGATACAATACAAAAATGTAGCCCATGGCTTTATAAAGACGAATTATTAAGTATATCAATGGGACCATCATGGTATCCTGTAGAAGATTTTTTCTTCAACAAGAAAGAGATGGCTAGTTCTGTTTACTACATTTGTCTAAGATCTTGGTTTTTACAGACATCTGATTAATTTACAAAGCTAAAGTGTTAAAATATCAATCACTAAATATAAAATCAAGTACTCTTTACTTATTCAGTTCCATAAGTTAATATATTTAAACATTATGTGTGTTTTCATAAATTGGTAAATGGAAAAAATGTTTAATATTGCTTTGTGTCTGTGTCTTTGCTAAAACAAGGTTACTAAGTGTTAGGATTCTATCATGTGTAATTTATATACAAAGAGTAGAAAAATTTTCAGTTGGGTTTCAATTATAGTATTATAGTATCATAAAAAACATGAAAGTCTTTCATCTTATTAAAGTGGAGTAATTTGTCTAAATCAGAAATTTTATAAGAGTTGTTTCAAAATGTGAATTTATAAAAAGGGTTAACGGTTAAAAAGAGATAGAAAAAGATTCAAGATGTGGAAATATATTTTAATATAAAAGGTTAAAGGAAAAAGAAATGTTTCTAGATGATATAATCTCTGTGTGGCAAAGTAAAAAGTTGTAAAATGCCGTTTAAAAAGATTTTGAGGAAACTAGACTTAATTTAAAAGCTTGAGAAAGGAAGAAAGAAGAAAAAGATATTTGTACATGGCAGATTGAGACAAAGCTTTTTAATGGAAAAAAAAAAAGCCTTTGGTTGAAGGGCAGCCATGTAAACTAACATTGAAGCAATTTAAACAGAATCTAAGCCTCGTTTAAAAGAGTGAAGTTGTAGGTGGTGAAAAAGTACATTTAAAAGTACAGTATAGATGATAATTAAAAGGCTTTAAAAGGTTAAATTGAAGGTGGTCGAGATACCTTCATGGAGGAAAAAAGAAAAAAGATATAAAAAGATTCAAGATGTGGAAATATATTTTAATATGGAAGGTTAAAAGAAAAAGAAATGTTTCTAGATGAGATAATCTTTGTGTGGTAAAGTAAAAAGTTGTAAAATGTCTAAGTAAGTTGCAAAAGGCTTTAAAAGGTTAAATTGAAGGTGGTTAAAATGCCTTCATGATGGAGGAAAGATTGTGTCATTCGAAACCTAGTTAATCCTAAAGGCATTACTTAAAAAAAAAGGGACGATAATAGGATAAAAGATATTTAGAAAAAGAAGATTAAAAATTTGAAGTGAAAAACTTTAAAGACAGAAGTATAGAAAGTTAAAAGGAAAAAAAGATAGAAAAGATGTAGGAAGATAAAAAACATGTAGGAAGACAATAATTTTAAACCCACAAAATAGGAAACAAAAGAAAACTAAGAGAAAAAAAAGCAACTAAGGGTGAATGTACAAACCTTAGGAAAAAAAAAAACTAGAAGATAGAAATAAGATAAAAAATGGTTAAAAATGTCAAGTAAAGGTATTTCAGATAAAAAATACAAAAAGCTAAGACAAGTATTAGATACAGACATTCAAGATAGAAAAAGGTACAAGAGAGAAGTTTACAGTCAAATATTGGATAAAATAGAAGAACAAGGAGATTATTAGTAATTTTTTTTCAAAAAGCACATCAACTTTAATTTCTGGTGGTGCAGATATTAGAAGACTCAGAAGAGGGTGTTAAAATTTATAGACAAGAGCCAATTTAGAAAACATTAAACTAGAAGGAAATTGGTTTAAAACCACATCAAAAAATTAAAAGGACTAAAGTAATTCTAAAAACTAAGGCAGAATGCTTTTGAAAGATTTAAATTTAAAAGGATCTTTAAGGGGTATATATCCCCCAAAGATAAACTTAAAATAATGCTTTTTACTCTAAACTTTTTAAATTTGGATTCATCAGGACTTAGTGCTGCTGAAAGACATATGTATCCAAAAAATGTACATTAGCCTAAGGTACTTTGGAAAGATATTCTAACAGTACAATGGAAAGTTCCTGACCCAGTGATTGTCTGGAGTCAGGGTTCTGTTTGTGTTTTTCCACAGGGAGAACAGCAGCCGATTTGGATTCCAGAGAGATTAACCAAAGCAATTTCTACAGACCAAAAAGAAGATGATTTGACTCAAATCCATAACAGCTGATATCCAGAGCTCCAACTTGGCTATTCTTACATCTGCGACAGTGATTAACCAGGGTGCTTTTTTTCAATATCCATTTTATTATTGCTTTTTCCCACATCATAAAGTTCTATTTTATTTTTTGAGCTCATACAAACCTAGGTTAATGTTTTTCTGATCAGTTTTATTTTTTGACTCTGGAATTTTTAAACATTGCAATGGAGATTTCACCTAGGTAAAGCTACAAGGCCTTTACTATTGTCTTATGTGTTGTACATTTGTGTGCACATTTGTGTTTTGTGTTGTATGTCTGTGTGTGCGTATGTCCATAGATCATATATGAGGAGCACTCATGAAAAAATGGATCCAAATTATTATTTTTTTTTATTCACATGATTTAAATGGTTTAATTTAAATTAGGTAAACAGCTGTTAAGGATTGTTTTTAAAGGTGGTTAACAGATCTGTTTGTTTACTAATTTAAATTAGGTAAATAACTGTTAAGGATTATTTTTAAAGGAGGTTAACAGATCTGTTTGTTTACTTTCACCTTTCCTTTTCATCATATTTAATAATTCTGTTCAGGATAATGTCTCTTTAGCATCATTGCCAGAATTCCTATCTCCATCCCTGTGCCGGTGAAGACAAAGATAAAACCAGACTACAGCTTCTATGATAGCTATCACAGTAAACTGTATAAACTGATGCATCAATGAAAATAACTTAACAAGTAATGCTCAATCAAGGACTCGATTTACTTTGGGAGGAAATGGACATATTGATAGACTCCTCCGGTTTGAACTGCTTGCAGAACTTGCCTGGACTATGTATCACTTGTATACATTGTGAACAATCGTTTGGTGCAGCGAATTGTGGTAGTGCTGGCATATCTTTGCTGATGGTGTCACCAGTGATGCAATTTTTCCAAAGGAGCCGTCAATTGGCTTGGTGTCATGGCATTTCTGTATCCTCCTCCCTTCTGCTAATGATGGTCTAAATTTGGGGGCCAACAGAGTTGAGGCAAAGAACCTCACACCCCCCACACTGGCACCAAGGCCAAAATTGGGGGACAACAGAGGTGAGGCAAGATCCTCACCCCCCACACACACACTGGTGCATAGGCCTATCCACAAATATGGCTGCATGCTGGACCAGTAATCAGTGATGGGTATGATCCAATTGCAGTGGTATCAACCTAAGACAGGAGGCTGATGCCTAGAGGTCAGTTTTTCCCATGATGGGTAAGAACCATATGTTAAATTGGACAACCTACCAGGCATGGTCCTTAAGCCACATTGCTTGTTGTTTAATTAATCAGAAGGGGGGAGATGCTGAGGGCCATTGCTAAGTAAGAATGACGCATGGCATGACCCAGGTCATTTGCAGTGACATTGCATGTAAGGTGACCTTGCTCAAGGACCAGGGCGGATCCGGGTTTAGGGTGGATTGGGGTTTAGGGCATTCCTGGTTTAGAACAATCCAGGTTTAGGGCAGTTCCAGGTTTAAGGTGTACCCTGCTGGGAATAGGGCGTATCCTGCTGCCTCAGGTGCACCTGCTCCTTCAGTTCCCTTTGAGTTCTCAAGGGATTGAGAGAGTATTTGGGATTTTGCCCAGAATGTGAATTTTGCCGAGAATGTGTGTGTAAAGTGCCAGTGACAGTTTGAGAATAAAGAATTGCTGTTTGAATCTACAAGGCTGTGAGTGGCTCGTGATTTTGTGCCCAGCAAGACTGTGGCAGTAATAGGTGTTTTTGGAGTTGTCTCTGGAGATGGTGAATTGGCCCTTCACAGAGTTGGCATAGTTTGTTGTATCACCATTTTGGTTAATTTCTCCAACCAACTCTAGCCCATTCCCTAGAGCCTGGCAGACCCACTCCATCCAGTAGTCACTGAGGGTGAATCCAGAGGCTGCACATGAGAGTCACAGGAAACCCCCAGGGTACATCAGGCCTCCCCCAGACTCCATCAGCTGCACCTCACACTGGACACCTGCAAACACAGAGGCAGCCTGGTCAGGAAACTGCCACTTGTCCACTCTTTCTCTCACGCCTTCCACTCACACACTCAGGGTCTCTGGTTCTCCATCAATTACCTTTGAAAACAGCCACCAGGAAAACCCAGCTGAGCACACTCTCCATGGTGAGCAGCTGTGTTCAGTCCTGATCACTGAGTGGGCTGAGCTGGGAGTCCAGGGCTGGGCTCCTGTGCAGAGCTGCAGGGTCAGGTGGGCTGGTTTTCATGAGCAGAGGGAGGCCCTATTTGCATGTCCTCCTGCTATATAGCAGCTCTGGGTGGAGGCCTCCTAGAGGAGCATTTAGAGTACATGTGAGCATCAGGGACAGTTAGGAGCACACAGCAGCATTTTGGAAAGTAAAACTGTTTTTGTGTATTTTTCTGTTCTGCCTACATCATCCATTAATGTGTTTTCCACATCTACATAATCATGACAGAGGGATCACAGTGAATTCCATGATGCAGTTCTGAAATCTCACAGAAGCTTGAGTGGTGATGCACTGTGCCCAACAGCTCATATTTGTAAAGAGGGAGTTGAATATTTAGGCTTCTGCTCTTACCCTGGACAGGAGTGGTTCCCTGAACCTCCTATAAGTCACAGGTGGACACACATCATGACATCCTCAGAACCTATTTTGTGGGAGCTGGGCTCACTCAGGCTGGAGCAGACTGTGGGCTGGACAATTTCAAGGGCACAGGTGAGGCCCTGGCATGTGACCCCCTGACTGATGTCAGACCATGTGCAGGACAGGGAGGGACAGAGAGGGGCAGTGCAGGCAGAGCTGGTGATTTGCACTTTGGCCAGGAGAGCAGCATACTTGTGGTGCTGCCCAGGAGCTGTGGCCAGGAGGGGGAGGCCAGCAGCTCCACTGGGAGCAGCCCAGGCTTTGCACCCAGAGGATGGAGGGTGGTTTCAGGATCCCAGGGACCAACAAGGCCCAGCTTCCCCAGCTCAGAGGCAGAGATGAAGATCTGAAAGACCCTCCAGGCCAGGGCCTGTGGGAGAGAGCTCTGGGCTCCTGACCCAGGACTGCCCAGGGCATGGTTTCCCCTGTTCAGCCAGCAAGGGGGTCAGAGGTTCCGAGCCCTGGTTCAAGGGCAGCCAGGACCTGCTGCCTGCTGAGGGTGACCTTGTCCTCAGCCACACCATGCTGGCTTTGCAGGTGGCAGACTGTGAGAGCTACAGGAGCTGCAGTGTCCTCTCGAGCACTCTCCCCCAGTATGTGCAGGTGTGAACCTCTTCTGTTGCTCAGTGGTGAGGCCCTACCCCTGCCCTGCACAGGCTGTTGGTGTGTGATGCAGATGTTTCCAGAGTCTGACTTCTTCACAGCCACGTGGGGTGACGTTGTTTTCAACTTGGTGGACAACATGGATCCTCTCTTCTCCTGACCAGAAGGTCCCTTTTGATGACCTCTTCCTCCTGGTAATAATTTCCTGGTGCAGCAATCCACATACACACCTTGATTTACCTGGTCCCTCCTCATGCTGACCTGGTCACTCTGTGAACCCAGCCCACTGTGGAATGGCAGGAAGGTTCTCCTGAAGTTGTGGGCAATTCTGTTTTCATGTTTAAATTTCAACCTAGAGATTCTCGTAAATGTGTTTCCATATTCCTTCTTCATCAATTTTTAATTTAAATATTATTTTTTTTAGTTGAGTGACATAACATCTTTATTTTATTCATTTATTTTCATGTGGTGCTGAGGATCAAACCCAGGGCCTCCAACATGCTATGCAAGCACTCTACCATTGAGCCACAAATGGAGGATTTTATTCTTTGATAATTAGTGTTTCACTTTCTGTTTAATTAAGTTGTTTATAACTTGCTAATGTGACTGGTTAGATGGGCATCTGACATGGAGCACACACATTCTGCTTCAGCTCTCAGGCTGTCCACTTCTCTGAGCACCCACTTCTCTCCTGGCCACGGGCCTCATCAGGAGCAGATGCCGGGGATCCCTGGAGTTGGGTTTGCACAGTGCCTGCACCAGGCCTGCACAGTGGCGAGACCTTGGACCTGCCACCACCTCATGGGTTATATCCTCAGTGCCCCTAGGGACACATGTGTCTCTTCTTCACTGCAGGAAGTGGTGTCTGTCCTGTCTTCTTGCATGGGCTCTGACCCCCAATGCCAGTGCAGCTCCTACACAGCAGTTAATGAAGGCACAGCTGGTGGTCACTGGTGTTCTGCAACTGGGTGGGATTGGAGCCCCTGTAGCAGGTGGCCTGTGCATCTGTGTGACCAGGGGCCAGACACCGTGCATGCTGCCTTCATGAAGCAGAGCACAACAGGGCACCTGCTTGTGCAGTCCACGGGATGTGGCCAGAGAATTAGAGGAGGAACAGGATTCCAGGGCTCTGAGGCTCTGGGTGGAAAGGGAGCCACGGAGGCCGGCAGGAAGGCACTTTCTCCACACTGTCCCCATAGGCAGAGGGGAAGGTCAGAGCTGAGGACACCTGAGCCCTTGTGCAGGAAGCCCCAGGCTGTGCCTTTTGCACCCAGAACACAGTCATGGGGGCTGCTTCTGCAGGGTCCAGGCTGATCAGAGTCATGGGGGCTGCATCTGCAGGGTCCAGGCTGGTCACAGTCATGGGGGCTGCATCTGCATGGTCCAGGCTGGTCACAGTCATGGGGCTGTGTCTGCAGGGTACAGGATGGTCACAGTCATGGGGGCTGCATTTGCAGGGTCCAGGGTGGTCACACTCATGGGGGCTGCATCTGCAGGGTCCAGGCTGGTCACAGTCATTCTGGCTGCATCTTCAGGGTCCAGGCTGGTCATGGTGAAGACCTCCTGGTTGTTGCAGGGGTCCTAGGAGTTTGTGATCCAGCTCCTCAGGGCTGGGTGGACCAAACACTGGCCAGCCCCTGCAGGGCCTTCCCTGGGTGAACACCCAGCCCAGTCTCTGTTAGTAGAGCCCAGTGAGGACCCAGAGTAGGAGCAGGTCAGCCTGTGGTCATGGTGGATCCTCCAGCCCAGGGCCAGATTCCTCCAGGGAGACTGGGGGCAGGTGCTTCATCACCCAGGTCCTGACTCTTTCAGCTGCACCTGGGAGAGGACCCTGGGACAATGAAGCAGAGTGAGTCTTGAACTCAGATGCAGCTGCCCCATGTCTTCCTCCCTGAGTCCCTGAGACCTCACATCTGGGAGCCTCCAGCAAAAGGAAGGAGAAACATAGAAGGTTTTGTGCTCAAGTTTTTCTGTCAGGTCTGTTCATGACAGTGACCTAAAGCTGACTCAGGGTATGAGCAGACACCCAGAGTCCTGAAGCATCAGGATCTGGATGTGTAGTCACAGGTCAGAGTATCTGTCCTCTCTTGCCTGTAGCACAAACCCCCAGAGTGGGCAGATGCTAATGTCCCTTGTTGTTCTCAGTCTCTGAGATGAACAGGCTGAGCACCTGGGGCAGGTGAGCTGTGTGCTAAGGGCCAGCTCCCACTGCCCACAGTGCTCGGTGGCTGCAAGCTTCCAGGACAGAAGGTGGCCATGGATCCCTGAGAGGGCAAAGGCAATGTCAATGTCCTTCCCTCAAGGCCCTCGCTGTGGCCCTCATCCTATACAGGGGTGACAGCCATCCCTGGTACAGTCTGACCCAGACGAGAACCTCTTAGTGGTACCAGGGGGGTCCAAGTGCCAGCACATGAAGGAGAAGAGGTCCCTGCCATCAAGCCCTGTGGATTCCAGGAACACCCATCCCAATGTGCTAAATGCTCCAATTCCTCCCCAGGGCCACAAGGTCTTCACTCACTCCAGCACCAATTTTGGAGTCTGGGTCCACAGTGTCACCTATCCCCCATGTGGGTCAGGTGTGGGTATCCCCTGGGGTCATGCTCCTCAGGTTGGAGCTGGGAATCAAACACGTCATGTGCTGCAGACACCGTGCTGGACCTGGCACAGGTCACACTCCATTACCACCATGGAGATTGGACCAGGCTGTTCAAATGCAGTTGGACCAGTATCAGCCTCAGGGCCCCAGATGGCCCTGGTGATGTGACGCCGGCCACCCTTCCTCACTGGGCAGGTCCAGGGTGCAGACTCCAGAAGCCCCACCCTGTGCCTTTCTGGGGCAGCCAAGGGGGGTCCGTCCTGCCTGTGATGTCCTCCCTTCAGCTCTTGCAGCCTGGCTCTGTGCACTGGTGGCTCTGCAGGCTGGAGTGTGGGGAAGGGCCTCCTCACAGCTCCCCTCTGCACTCCTCCTGGAGACACTGCACTGTCACTAGGCCTCAGTCCTGTTGAGCACGACCTCGTGCAGGCCTCCTGTAGGGACTCTCCTCTGCAGGACTCTTTGACCTGTGCTTGGAGATTTCTGGGTTTTCTTTGACGACTCTGACATGCTGCCATGCTCCATGAGTTTTGGACTCTGTGCCTGTCACTGTGAGCAGCATAGGGACACTATCCATATGTGCACTGGTGATGGTCTCCCATGGAGAGTGGTCAGTGCCATGCACACTGTGCCCAGCCATACTGCCCTCTGAGGTGAACATCTTAGTCTGATGGAGAATGTCGCCAAGTCCTGAAGCTCAGGACTCCAGGAAAAGCCTTGTCTGTGGGCAGGACCAAGGGGACACGCCCTAGGAAATGTAGTAAGAGTGGGGAAGGAGTAATATTTCTGATAATATCCACTGGGCAGAGGTCAGATATTACCTATGGTAGACTGACCACCATGGGGATGGAGTAAGTGT